CCTGGGAAGGCAGTGGAAAATGGCCCAAACGTTGGGGCCCCTGACACCTACATGGGAGACCTGGATAAAACACCAGCACCTGGTTTCAGCCTGATCCAGTCTTGGCGTTTGCATCCATTTGGGGAGTGAGCCAGGACATGAAAGATCTCTCTTTCTCTTTGTTCCTCTCTCTACGTAACTCTTTCAAATAAATAAATACATATTAAAGCAAAAAAGTGAGTCAGTGAAGATACAGCTGAATTTGTGGAGTTGAGAGTATTCATTTGTCCGGGAGTCTTAGTACTCAATATGATTACCAATTGTTGAGCGCCAGCTGTACACCAGGCACCATGCTGGGCTCTGTATGCGAAGGTACTTTGAAAAGTTTGTGGAAAATTAAAATTAAAAGACACATTTATTTTGACACAAGCATCTTAAATTTGTCTTTATATATAATATATATTACACACATATATTATATCTATATATAAAATGCATATTTTCCATGAAAATCCATCATCTGCACAAGGCAAACATTCCTGTAACAGCGAGCAATGTAGGGGGAAAATCCACAACCACAGGGTCAGGACTCCTGAGTTCACTTCAGCTAGTTTGCCACTAACTGGTTGTGTGACTTTAGCTAACTCCTCTATCTTCTGGTTGTCAATTTCCAACTACAAATTAGAACTTGGCCTAATACACTCTGAGTTCCCTGCTAACTTTGGCCATCATTGATTCAGGGTCTCACTGTGTCAGTATGCTGTGGGAGCCCAAAGGAGAGACATGGAGTCAGGTGAGAGCTGATCATAGAGCTGGGATCACAGAGGGCAGTAGCCACTGGGAGAGGGCCATGTTGGAGGGAATGTGGGGGAGGAACTTCCTCTGACGGGGGCACCATGGGAGAGCCTGGAGATGTGGGTGGGCAATGCTCCACAGAGGAAGGCACGGAGGGTGCCAGGCAGGATTTTATTTCAGGGAAATGTTCTAAATGATGCCTACCATACAAGCCACTGTATCAGAGATTGACAGACACTGTAGACATAGAACAGAGTGTCTGAGGGCTCAGACGTGGGTGAGAGCAACTTTGAATGGAGAAGAATAAGGTGTGTACTCATGTACCCTTATCAAGGGAAAATATGAAGCCTGGGATGGGGAAGCCGGGGGTGGCAGCTCCCTGGGCAATGGCAGCTGGTCATATCCTGGTAAGGGGAGGCTTGGGGAGGAGCAGTGTGATCCCCATGATTCCCCATGGACTGAGCCCAGTGCTGCAGAGCCTGCCTGCTTCTCCGTGGGGGTTGCCTGTCACTGTGTCCCCTGGCCTGACTGCATCAGCCTCATGTAGGAGTGTGATCACAGTGCTGAGTCTCAGGCTCTCCCAACCCCTGCTAGATCCGAATCCTCAAGAGATCTCACAAGCACACTGCAGTGGGAGACACGCCCTTCTAGCTAAACAGTCTTCCTTGCCCCACCTCTGCTTTTAATGTATTTCCTACTCAGTGAAGAGATAAGTGCCTTCAGGATTTCCCAGGAAGTACACTGGATCCGGTGCCAGTTGACTACTCATAGTGTCTTTCTTGTTTATGCATTCATTTAGATAGTAACCAAGCACCTGCTCATATTCCAGTATGCTTCCTGTCTGTACCCCGGGTCCTCCTGCCTTGATTTCACTCAATTACTTTTGGGTAGGAAAGAAACAACTTGGAACTGGGATGGGAAATCCATGCACTTGATTGCCACACAGGTATTATCCTGGTGGCAGGGGGGCTGCCGTTTGAGTTGCAGATAAGAGGTGTGTGAAATGCAGCCTTGCTGTGGAGAGAACCATGACAAATCCAGCATGGCCAAAGCATATGCATTCCATTTAGCAGAGCTTTACAGCAGCTCCATGGGTTGATGGTGGTGAGACATACACCTGCCAAGAGCAGGACTCCCATGTGCAACAGAGGTTCTGTCTTAGAGAGATGGTAGGATGTGCATAAAAGCAGGACCTGAAACAGCAACAAAAGCTGAAGCCCACTGAGAGCCAAGAGACATGATGGGCTGCTCTTTTGGAGGACTGCTGGGGTCAAGGCAGTGCATGTGGATGGCATGACAGCGTGGAGGGAACAGCTTCCTTGTTGGCAAGGCTGCGAGGAGCTTCCATCTGTATGGCAAGGCCTGGTGGATGTCTCTCCAACCTCTTCAACGCAGTTTCACCCCCTTTGTATGGACACTCAACCACCCCACTAAGAATTCTGTAATCCATTGAGGCACTGCTGTTTGCCCTTGTGAGATGGTTTTGCAACCAAGGTGAGCTTGGGAGTTCACGTTGCTGATCATGTCTTAGTTAGTGGGCCTTTAACAATTTACACACAGGAGTACGATTATGCCCATGCTGTTGTGTCCAGAAACTGTTGTCTCAGAATCTGGTCTAGACATGTAGTGTGCTTTCTGGGAAAGGGTTTGATAAGTATCCTAAATATTAATGGAAGTGATGGGAGGTTGGGCTGCAACTGCTATGGCGATAAACACAGTTACTATGTTCTTAAAGGCTATCCTGTCCTTGCAATTCTTTGAAGCATAGAAAATGTATCTGTTTCAGCTGTTTTTATCATTTTTGGCTGGAGGAATTTAAGAATGTTTTTATTAATAGAGTTATGCTTTTAATTATTGTTTGATTGCTTATGGGGTTGTAGAGCCTATAGTTGTAGGGAAATTTAATATTTGAAACTTTTGTCTTGGATCTTTATGTATTTTTTTTCCCTTATAACATATTTTCCCATTAAGAGATTGGTAAATTCTAGAAATAGAATAGAAAGGTAGCAGGAACGTATTACTGATTAGCAGATAATCTCATGTGCCTTAGCCTTGGACTCCTGATTGTCACTCCATGGCTACTACTCAAGAGTGAACAACAGCTTGCTTGAAGAATACGAATATAGTATTTGCAGAATTATCTTTAGGGACACCTGCCTAACCGTGAAGTACAAACAGAATGAGCAAATGTCTGTGCATGCCCCCTTAGTCATGAAGTAAAAATAGAACAACTAAATATTTGTGCAAAAGCTTATGATATGACTGGGTAAATTAAAAAAAATAATTTAAAAAAGCTCCAGCTTTATGAGCTGTTAATTGAGGGCACCAATTAACAGTGTCCATGTTTCTTTTTTTCTTTTTTTTTTTTTTTTGCCGACTTCACATACTCTTTTTGAGCTTCAAACTTGGCTGGAACTGGCCTCCGGCAGAGAATCATGTTTTTAGGTAAAACACTACCCAGACAGAGCTGTAGGCCACCAAACAGATGGAGGCAAGCTGGACCCTGGGCTCTAGTCAGACTGAGAGCACTGGACATAGACACAACAGTTACAGGAGGCACCTGGAGCAGTTTCAATCTTCCCCTCTCAGTGCTTCTGCCTCCACCGCCCAGACAATGTTGGGTACAGAAGATGATACAGCAATTGGGGGGTGCACGGACTCATCTGTGAGGAGCTGAGGTGGTTGGGAGCTGGGCCCTGGAGGCTGGAGCGGAGGCCACCTTTACCTGGGAGTAGACGACGGAACAGTCCTAGAAGAAGGATGCAAGGGAATGAGGCCAGAGCTGCAGCCCACAGCGGGAGACCTGGTAGGGCAGGGGACTCACCTTGTTCCTGAGCAGTGTGGGTGCAGGGGATGCTGTGAAAAGAAGGAAAGTGCTCAACTGTTGTGGCTTCTAGGAGCTGCCATGTCCCTGTGCTGCTAGACCCCTGCCCTCTTCAGTTGGCCGTTCCTCCTGGTCTTCTCCCTGTCCTGCAATTGCCTTGTCCTACGCTGCCCAGCCCTCACAGCACTGACCAGCCCACCCCACAGGGACTCTTAAAAACAGAGATATGTATGTTTCATCTCATCAGCTGTATCATCACAGATTCATCTATATAATGGAGAGGGATGTGGCCACATCCACAGTTACCTCAGCCTGGGCCCCGTGCCAACTTTGCCACCTCTGGGGCCTAAGTCACTAAACATTGCCTGCCTCTTGTCACATCTACGTGGCAGGAAAAATAATGTCATCTGCCTGCAGCATTAATGTAAAGTTATCTGGGTTTACACATATGTATGTGTGTTTGTGATTGTGTATGCATGATTTTGTACCATCTACAGGTGTTGAGCAACTTCTATGTACCAGGAAGTGTTCTGGGTGCTAAAGTGTTCTGGGTAATAAATGACACCCCAAATTACTATATGATACAGTATACAGCATTGTTCTCTTTCTCTCTCTCTCTCTCTCTCTCTCTCCACACGCACACACACACACGGAGAGAGAGAAAAAGAAAAAGAGAGAGAGACAGAAAAAATTAGAGGGGAGAGAGGCATACTCCACTACAGGTGCACTTCTAAGGGGGTGGATATAAATATATATGTCATGTGTTTATTTATTCAAGTACTTAGAACTGTACCAGACACCTAAGAGTTTCTCAACACATGATACAGAGTGTGTGTGTGAGAGAGAGAGGCTTCTTTCTCTACTGTGTAAGGACATTGAAAGGGGGAATCTTTATGCAAACCAGAAGATGGACCTTGACAAGAAGTTTACTGTGCCAGCACTTTTATCTGGAATTTCTAGCAACTAGAACTATGAGAAACAAGTTTGCTCTTTTAAGCTAACTGGTCCATGCTGTTATAGCAGTCCAAACTGACTAAGACTATGGGGAATAATAGCCCCATTCCATTTGCAAGTGGGAACATTGCAGCTCTGAGAGTCTATTGTTTTACTCAGGCACAGGTACTTAGAGCACTGGCTGTGGGTTTTGTTATGTAGCTTATGCTGAAGCCACCTGTACAGAATGAAGAGTGCACTGGTGCATGGTGGGCTTGGAATGAACAGCACAGGCACATCCCCCTGCCCCCGATGACTCAGTGTGAAAGGCACCATTGGGCCTTGTTGACCCAGATGCTGTGTATGTAACTGAGCTACATACACAGCATCAGCTTGTCCAAGTTGATGGTTGATCAGAAAAGACCCTCTTCATTCTTACCTGTGGGCTTGGCTTCCCCTGGGATTCTTTTTACTTCTGAGTAAACCACATCTCTTCCTCTAGGATTGACTTGAAAAAAAGTTGAAGTTTTAGAGGATGTTAAGATTCTTGCCTCATATTTTACTTCCTTTCTTTTCCCCAAAGCTTATTCTCTGAAAGGACTAGAACCCTCCAGACTTCTGCACAATCCCCTTACATCTCCTGTCCAAATCTACACCCCCTGCTGCCCCTGCCAAAATGGAAGGTTTGCAGTCCTCACCATTGCTGTACACTGGTTGCAGCTCTATCCAGGCTGGTACATTGTGGTAAGTGGGCTCTTGGGGGTCTGAATCTGACGGGCTCCTGTGCAACACAGAAATATCAATGTTTCCGAGAATCTTGATTCAGTAGCTGCAAAAATCCCTGGCAGTCACTGAGTTTTTCACACGGACAATTGCCAAACTGGGAAACAAACAAGTGAGTAACAAATGGTTTGTGCATTTTGCATTAGAAATCATGACAAAGGAATATTATCTGTATTGCCAGATTTTTATGGCTATCTAGTATGTAACAAAAACTGTTACTATGCTTATAATGTCACTGCTTGTTCTATTGTATACCTGCTTTATAGTGGAAGAATGGAGATTCTGCAAGGTGAAATGATTTACTGAGGTCATGCAGCCAGCTGGGAGGACCTGGCACTAAAGTCTTTATTCTCAAAGCTGTCAACGTCCCAGAGAAATCAGTCAACAGGCTCTGAGAAGCTCTGGATATCTTAGGTATTATTACCATGAGCTTGCCCAGGAGTAGCTTGTGAGCCATAGTGTGGCTCATAAAGGTGGCCTTCAAGATCCAGAATGGTGGCCTCCTCTTCATAGGCATCACAATTGGATGGCAGAGTGCCCTCTCTGGATGACCAGGAATTTGACCCCCCCCCCCCTTCCTGGTTTTCATCCCAAGAAATGTTAATTGGATTCACAATGTTTGCAGTTTTCCAGGCTGAGCAAACTAAATCATCTCAAGATATGGATGGGTTTTGTGGTCAAATTGGTCAACTAAGGCAGGCATGGTACAAACCTGTGCAGTGAATAAATGAAAAGCAACTAACACTTGACAGAAGAAAAGAAGGCCCCTGCACTTTTGATGGTGGGTGAAATTCCATGTTGTTTCCTTGAGGTCCCCCAAGGGCAGAGACAACAGGAAGTAGAGGCAGTCCACCCAGCCACATGTGCAGAAGCTGTGCTCTTGGTGATAACTGGTCCAGTTCCATTTCATGAACCACCCAGGAGCACAGCTTTCATCTTACCTGGAGGAGTTAGAGGAAGGCTTTCCCTCTGCAAAGAAAAGCAAATGAGCATTAGATTCATGAAAGGAAACCCTTACCGGGGGCCTGGCTCATATGAGTCACACCTGGAAACTGCCTGAAGAATGAAGTCTGAATCTTTCTTTCCTAGCTTCAAGAGAGATAATTGATCTGGCAAAACTACTCTAATTATACCTGCCCTCCAAAAGATATAACTATAATGTGGAAGGGGAGACCACATCCCATAATCCTTCAACCTCAAATTTTAAAAGACAATGATTGATGGATGGAAGCAGCAAAATAGACTTGAATAACTATACAAATATCATACATTAAAAATTGATAAGTTGCCCAATCCCATTTGTTCTCTGTTTTCACTTGAGTCTTTCCCTCCTTTTTATTATTTGGGAATCTCTGGGGGTCAAAGGGAGACAACACTGCAGTTTGTAAGGTTAGATAAAGTGCATGTTTTCAAGCCATCTTCCACTTAAAGGGCAGTTTTGAATGCTTGCATTCCATAAGCATGTGTTATAGGGCACCCAGAGGGAAAGGGGTGAGAATAGGGGAAGGGAGAGGAGGAGAATTGAGAAGAAAAGAGCGTGGGTTCAAGGAGCGACGCACCTGCTTTTCTTGAGAGCCAGCAGTAGAGTAGCACTGCACCTGCAGCAAGACCTGCCATGAACAGTGCCCCGGTGACTGCTGTGGCAACTGGACCGCTTCTGTTCTCAGTCAGCCCTGAGGGGAAGACCAGGCACATGAGCAAGAGAGAGAGGCATGAACAGCCTCTGCCACCAACACTGATGCCTAGACCCGAGAGAGAAGAGGACTCTTGGTGGCCAGGACTCCTGGGACTGAGTAGGTGTTGGTGTGGCCCCTATCTGTGCCTGGGCATGGCTGATGGGCAGGATGGGCTGCGGCCAGTGAAGAGGCAGTTAGCTGATGACCTCTGCCTTCAGGAGTGTTCTTTATCCTTGTCCTCCTTCCCACATGCTGTCACTTGGAGATCCAGCAACTTTGTGTATCTGACCCTGTGGGTATCGTGTGGAATTCCAGAATGACCTTGGAGGAACTATTTGTCCACATCTGTAACCTGGACATAAGAAACTTACCTGAGACGAAGAGTGTCACCACCTCACTGCATTTGGTTTCCACGTGATTGTCGGCCTCACAGGAGTAGTTTCCAGAATGTTCTGAGGTCAGGGAGAAGTTGAATGATGTTCCTCCTCCAGAGGGTGCTGAGTGGTTCCCCAGGATGACATTCTCGTGATAAAATCGGTACAGGATTGGGGGCGAGCCTATGAGGGCCTCACAGTATAGCTGCACTATGTCCCCCACCACAGCCTGGGCCCCAAAGACTCGCAAGGTGAGGACAGGGCGAGACACTGGAACTGAAGAAGAGGAAAAATCCACCATATGTTTTTATTCCTAACATATTCATAAAGAAAAAGATACATTATAAGCAAGTGGAAAGAGATCTCAGTCTTGAATACTAGACTGAAACACAAATGATAGACAAAACTAATCATGTTTGTCTATAAATAGCTGTCAAGGTGCAGAAAATGCTCAATAGAAACTGTAAAAAGCATTGAAATCACTAAAAACTTCAAATAGCTAATAAATATACAGAAACAAGTCTTATCTTTAGTGTTAAGGGAATATGTACAAATAACAACATCCATAATATGCTATTCTTTTCCCATTTATCAGATTGACAAAGTTCAAATAGGTTCATATTACTCATGAGATTGTAGATTATCAGGCATCTTGCTCTAAGTGGGAATGCAAATTTAACACACTGTGCTGAATAGCAATTTTGCAGTATACCAAATTAATTATGCACAAAAGCTTTGACTCACTAAGTCTACTTCTCAGTTCATCTCCTTTAAATATAGTGTGGAATATGCCAAGACAATTGTAAAAGGATTTCTATTGCAGACTTTGGAAAAAATAAGTAAAAAACTAAAGGCAGGCCTGGCATGGTAGCCTAGTGGCTAAAGTCCTTGCTTTCTTTGCACACACCAGGATTCCATATGGGCATTGATTCTAATCCTGGCAGCTCTGCTTCCCATCCAGTTCCCTGCTTGTGGCCTGGGAAAGGAGTTGAAGATGGCCCAAAGCCTTGGGATTCTGCACCCGCATGGGAGACCCAAAAGAAGCACCTGGTTTCAGATTGGCTCACTCTGATCATTGTGACCACTTGGGGAGTGAATCAGTGGATGGAAGATCTTCCTCTTTGTCGTTCCTCCTCTCTGTATGTCTTTCTTCCCAATATAAATAAAAGAAAATCCTAAAAAACTAGAGGCAACCTAGTGGACGAGGTAATGAATTGGGAAAGCTATCCAACTTATACTTTTAAACTAAAGGCAAGAAACAGTTTTAACAGAAAACTACAAGCTATATAGTGTAATTTTGAATATGCAAAAATGTGTCAACAGGTAAAAAGGGTATGGCAATAGATAAAATCAGGACTATCTTTTATATTTTCTAAGGATTTATTTTATTTATTTAAATGGCAGAGGGAGAAAGAAAGACAGAGGAGGGGGAGGATGGAAAGAGGGATATATCTTTCTTTAACTGGGTCCTTCCCCAGATGTTCACAACAGCATAGACTAGATCAAGCCAAATCCATCTAGGTTTCCCATGTGGACAGGGGTTGAAGTGTTTGGACCATCTTCTTTTGCTTTCACAGGTGCATTACCAGGGAGCTGAGTTCAAAGTGGAGTAATCAGGACTTGAAATAACACTTGGATGTGGGGTGCCAGCATGGCAAGCAGCTGCTTAATACACTGTACCACAGCACTGGCACTTATACCTTTATCTTTACATTGTCCCATTTATATCATTCAAAATTTTATCAAAACTACTTATTTATGTATTCTTTCAGAATAATATCTTACTAAAAACTAAAAGGTTTTGTTAAAATATGGACATGAAAGATGAAAGATGAAGGAATTTTGTAGTCTAGATTAACACTGAGACTGGATAGGGCCATTTTTCAACCTGGATTTCCCATTATGCCTGTAAGCTATGACTTCATTCTTCATATTTCATGTTTCCTCTCCTGAAAACTGGGTATCCTCACAGGCATATCTTCATGGTTACTGCAGCATTGCATGTCAAGCCTGAAGCACACTGCTTACCATGTGATGAGGGCTCAGTGAATGTTAATGATAATGTTGTTAGGAAAGATGGTAATGAAACATCTGCTGCTTTCCGTGACCCCTGCTGTAGTTCCAGAACTCAGGCACCACTCACCCAGGCTACACAGGAAGACTTCAGCTATGATTGCAGCAGCATTAGAAACAATAGACATTTTAACTAAGAAATCATAGAAATATTGTTATAAGGAGAAGGGAGCAACACTTGGTCACTGACACATGCTTCAATGGGGGACTCTTAAGAAGTAGGTATGGAACGCATGTAACAATAAGTTCCTGGAACTCTTAGAGGAAAACTGTTTGAGGCAGACGCTGTTGATGGAGAGGAGAACCATGATTTGGTCGCGTGGGAAAAATCTGATCAGAAATCAAGTCACCTCTGGGTGTGAAAGGGATGGTCACCCTGGCTACTTAGGAGAGATTCTGGTTCCTGGGCTAGCATTGCTGATTGAACTTGCTCATTGAACTGGCCCGGGGAAATTAGGACTAGGAGTCCATGTCTTCCTGATGCTTAGAGTGTTTCCCAATATCTCGCATCTCTGGGATGTATCTCAGGAACAGGGATAGTAAGTTCTTCCTTTGCACATTTCCTTCATATTCAGTGTATGCAAATCACAGAATTCTAAGGCAGGGTGACCGACACTGTGGCATAGCATGTCAGCAGCAGATCAGCACCAACAGCCTGCACCACCAGATCCTATATGGGAAGTAATTTGAGTCGTGGCTGTCCCATTTCTGATCCAGCTCCCTGCTAATGCACCTGGGAAGGCAAATAATGATGTCTTAAGTGCCTTGGCTCCTATCACTCACAAGGGAGGCTCTGAAGAAGTTGCTGATCCTGGCCTTGATCTGGCCCATTTTTTTAAAATCATTATGGTCATTTAGGAAATAAACCAATAGCAGGCAGATCTCTCTCTGTCTCTCTCTCACTCACTGTGTCCTCTTTCTCTTGTTATAACTTGGGTTTTCAAATAAATAGCTCTTTTTAAAAAACAATTCTACAGCAAGGGAAGACTGTGATCTCCATTTTGTCTTATTTATCTAGTGTGTGTGAGAAAATTTTAGTTAATTTAGGACAAGATGCTTGGCCAAAGTCATACTGCTTGTTCTTAATAGCGTGGTGTAGCACCTTCTCTAAGCAAGTGTTTGGAGTTTTTGTTTTATTTAGGGCCTTCTAAAAATAGAAGCAAAACTCATTTTCTGTTGGTTATTACACTTCAAGGCAAGAGAACAAAAGACAGCTTTGAGAATAAGATTTCTATTCCATTACATCCTGCTCTAGATTTCTCTAGCCTGGAAACTTGATTCCTTGCTTTAAGATATTTCAGCATTTCCCCTGGAAGGCTAGACACACAGCCGCTAATTATATGGGATGTTGCAGAAATACAAGGAATATTAACTCTACGGTAATAAAAGAAGCTCAACAGAAGCTTATTGGAAGTCAATGAGAAGAAATTAGACGAGGAATGTTGTCATCTTTTAGAAGTTTCTGGTTTCCTTTCAGTATCACAATGTCAGATCAGAAAATAGTCTAGGGTAAGCATTTGGAGTGCCTAAGTTTAAATTCTGATTCTGCTTTCCAGTGCAGCTTCCCGTTGAGGCACATCCTGCAGGCAGCAGGCGATGACTCAGGTACCTGAGTCCCTGCCACCCATGTGGGAGATGCTGGCTGAGTTCCAGTCTGCCAGCTTCAGCCTGGCCTAGCCCCTAGCTATTATGAATATTTGGGGAAGGGGAGTAAAATAGCAGATGGCACATCCTTGTGTGTTTCTCTGCCTTTTAAATAATAAAAAGGAGATAGTTTATGGTCTAAAAACACCATTACATTTTGTGTTTTTTTTTTATTGATTACATTGCATTATGTGACACAGTTTTATAGGCACTGGGATTCCGCCCCCTCCTCCCCCCGCCAAGCCCTCCCCACATGGTGGATTCCTCCACCTTGTTGCATTACCACAGTTCAGATTCAGTTGAGATTCTTTCATTACAAGCATTTACCAAGCACAAAGTCCAGCATCTTATTGTTCAGATAAGTTCAACGATTTCTTGGAGAGACCATCTCTGGTCTGAAGGTAGAGCCGGCAGAGTATCATCTCAATCAATTAAAAGCCCTGATATAACATCAGTAACAATTTATAACATTATGGAATTAATTGACATGGTATTGAATAACCAATATGTTAAAAAGAAAAAAGAATGCAAGTTCTGAACCATATCCTGTGACTTCTACATTGACATTTCAATTGTTAGTTTATATACAACCAGGTTCTATATGCGTTAAAATGGCTATAGATTACTATTCGGCTGTCTCGTGTCTATTTTAATTTTAGTATTTAGCAGTTTATAGCATTGAAATATGATTTTGCTGAACCTGACTGTTTTTCAGGCAGTCTAACTCTATAACTCTAACAAGACATGTGTCAACAGTTTAGGTGAACCGTTTTAGGAGGGGTGTGCAGAGAAATCTTCAATACCCTAGTGAGGAGTAACTGATCTTTGTGTCCCACCTAGTGAGGCATGAGTGAATCCACGCTGACCGTTTCCTGTTTGATTCTAAGCTTTCCTTGTTGTTCTCTATATATTCTAGATTGATTATTTGTTTTGAGGGGTTTCTGGAGCGATCCTGATGGCCATTGAGAGAGAGGGTGGGGACCCAAAGTTGGAACCAGGCAAAGACCAGAGAAAGCTCCCCTACCATTGCATTTTCATTGAGACTTTATACATTTAAGAAGACTAGTTGACCTGTGAGCTGGGAAAGGTTCCTTAAAGCTACCATAGGAAGGACCCAGTCTTTAAGTGCTGTTGATGGGAGGAATGTGTGGGTGCTATGCCAACATATAACCCTGAAAAACTCTATATCTCCATTTTCAGTTCTTGATTGTGCTGGTGGTGGACAGGATCAACTCACCTGTAACGCTGAGTGTCACTGTATTACTGTGCTGGGCTCCCAGTGTATTTCTGGCCTCACAGGAGTAGTTTCCAGAATGTTCTGAGGTCAGGGAGAGGTTGAGCGATGCTTCTCCTCCATAGAGGGCTGAGCTGCTCCCAAGGGTGACATTCTCGTGATAAAATTGGTACAAGATTGGAGGTGAACCTGTGAGGGTCTCACAGTGCAGTTCCATGACATCCCCCACCACAGCCTGGGCCCCAAGGATTCTCAAGGTGAGGACAGGGCGAGACACTGGAACTGAGGGAGGGAAAGCAATCATTAGATCCTTTTGCTGGAATATATTCCTGCTAATAAAAGTCATTTCAAGCAGGGAACATGCTTTTTCACAGTCTTTAAGACTCTTCTGACATTATTCATAACTCGGGAGTAACTTCATCAGCTTTCAGAAAACAAAACATACATCTAATACTACACATACTTGGAGCACTGGGAAATGCAAACTCAAGTATGTTTGACAAATCTGAAAATGAAGATTACACTGAAACCTGGATGTGTCAGAAGTCAAAGAAGAACTGAGGAATGTGAGAAATTAGTGAATAGAACTTGAGGAATACGAGACTGGCAGCTTAAATGTAACCAGGGAGGCAATTCAGAAGTGAAGCCCACTACAGAACAAGTACTGATGAATCTGTTTGCTTATTGTGCTCATTCATTGAACAGTAATAAGGTAGTAAGTAGGTTGTGAGACCCTGATGGAGATTCAATGGAGATAAAGCTGTAGTCTTTGCTCTCATAGAGCTCAGAACCTAAAAGGGATGACAGGGCAGCAATTAAACAGGAATACAAACATGCAACTCAAGTGTCAGTAACTGATAAAAAAAAAAAGAACAGGGTGCTATGGAATGTACGACATTGGTACTTAATCTAGCATATACTAGTTGGAAGGAGCATCCTCATAAAGTGACATTTGAAAATAACCACATGAAGGAAGATCTGGTATATGTAAGAGTTCTGAACTGGGAAGAAGCTGGCCGTGATGAACTACTGAAAGAGGGTGGCAGCATCACTCGAAGAGTCTGAATTGGGTCACAAAACAGGAGGCTGGACACTGGGTGGAGATTCATTAGCTGTGCTGGAGATTCTGACCTTTCATGGAGCAACACAAAGTCTATAAATCTACCATACAGGGGTGTGAGGTGACCCAATGCTTTTGTTTAAAAACCTTCTGATCTTATTGTGTAAAATGACCCTAACTGAGACAGAAGTGAGTAGTTAAGTACAATTGTGTTAATTATAAATAATGTTAGATTTGACCTGGATAGCAGTGGTAGAAATAGATTCACAAAATGTTTACGAAATAACAAACTAGACTTAGACTGACCATGAGGAGAGAAATGTTACAGAAGACTCCTAGGTTTCTGCTTTGTGCTCTCGAGGCATGAACAGAGGTGCCTTCGCAAAAAGAGGATGAGGCAAGCGTCAGTTTTAGAGATGCCCAGGCCGATGTGCTTTTGAGATATTTGAGTGCAGGTGAGGTGTTTGCAGGTGCTCAGATGAGAGGTCTCATTTAGAGACAGAAGTGTAGAAGTCACAATTTACAGATGTGCAGAACATTTATGGATAGCATTCTGAGGATCTCCAAGAAAAGAGAGGATAAAGGGCACAGCCCTTAGTTCTTGAACATAGTAGTGCTTAAAAGTTATAACAGAAGAGGTTAGGAAAAATAAGACTGAGAAAAAGTGGCCAGAGGGAAGAACTGCAAGAGGAGAAGTTTGCTAAAATTAAGGAAGAGAGTGTTCTGAGAAGGAAGAAATGCTTACTTACAGCATGTGAGATTTTAAAAAGATGAAATAAGACAAGTTGTGAAAACAAGACTGTTGGATTTAAAGCCACGGAGGTTTTGTGTAGCCTATTTAAGAACTGTTTTGAGAGTGAGGGAATAGAGCAGACTTGGGAAGCTGTTTCTGAAAGTTTAGCTATGGTGGAGTCTAGGGTGGAGGCATAAGTGGGATTTGGTAAAGCAGTTTTCTTAGATGTGGAAGCACTGCAGCATGTCAATGCTGAAAGAAAGTAGTAGACAAAGAGAGGTGTTGGAGGTCAGAGGAGTTAAAGGATAGCAAGAGTTTATGAGAATACATGAAAAGTGGAATCTAGGGGTCAGATGGAGGTGCTCACTACGTGTGGGGGCAGAAAAAGTCCTCCATCCACACCTTAGGAAGACAAGAGTTGAATTAATTTATGAATACAGAGAAAGACTTCAGTTTGGTGGTAGGAGTTGAGGGTGACATTGGATTAGAGAGGATGTAGAGGTGGTAACAAACTGGAATTTCCATAGATACATGAATAATGGTGATAGAAGGAGTTAAAACAAGAAGGATGGGAGACTGCTCAGATAGCAGGTGCTTAAAGCTCATTTTGGAGATGGAATGGTGTGTATGTGTATGTGGGAGAGGTGACTGATACAGAGAAGAAGATAGGGCAAGGTGCTGAGTGATTCATAGTGATGCCAGAATGTCTGGTAGAGAGGAAGATACTAAAGCCTCCATTGAGCGTGGACACGGCCGGGAGTTCAGCTGACAAGGACAAACGGGAAATGAGGATATTGCTGAATGGACAGGAACATGTAAGAATCATCTGCTGGTGAGGTTCCTCAGAGGGACTCTAAGCTACTCTGGGACAAGGGCAGGAGAAGCTAGAGAGAAATCTGTGAGCCAAAAAGAGAATGTGCTTGCATTTTTAATGACTGATATAAAACTGTGACCACATGTCTTCTGAGGTGAGACACAGTGACCTTCATAGCTTTCTTACTGAGCACTATTGACCAGGATATAGTTTGTATTTTGAAAATTGTATTCTTTGTTGGAGGAGTTTTGGTCATGGTGGAAAAAGAGTGTTGCCATAAAGAAAAATTCATGGAGAGAAGCAAAGGTGCAAGTTTCTGAACATGTAGAATTTGAAGCTTGCAGATAGAAGTCACATAGGCAGAAGTCATGTCATAACATCATATATCAAATTGTAAAGGAAACAGAGCTCCAATGCTGCCTGTTGGGGAAGGTGGAGGAGATAACGCATCCCTTGAGCTGATAGTCGCAAGAATCCCCTCACCTGTAACAGTGAATGACATGGTGTCACTGTGCTCGGTTGCTATATAATTGTTAGCCTTGCAGGAGTAGTTTCCAGAATGTTCTGCAGACAGGGAGAGGTTGAAGGATGCTCCTCCTCCCGTGGGAGCTGAGTGGTTCCCCAGTAAAACATCTTCATGATAAAATTCATACAGGATTGGGGGAGACCCTCCAGAGGCATTACAGTGCAGCTCCAGCACGTCCCCCACTACAGCCGGCATTCTGGGAGCCCTGAGAGTGAGGACTGGGCGAGACACTGGAACTGAGGGAGCAAAGAGTTAACTGACATGAGTTTCTTTTTTATAAAATAGCTCCTCATTTACACATGCACACACACAATCAAATGATACAGAATTATGCAAAGTAAACATATATGAAGGTCTATACTTTTCAGCGATGTCTTGAGTATTTGGTAAAACTATCTAGATCTTTTCTAAGTATAAATACACTCACTCACATGAACACAGAATTAACTCACATACGGGCAATATAATACACACTGGAATACAATCTACTTTTTCCCTTAGCAAAACATTGTGGTTATTTTCTATGTCATTACTTAAAATCTCTATGACTCACTTAAAAATAATTTTTATCCAGGTCTAATTTTTAAAGATTTATTTATTTTTTTGTTGGAACTGCAGATTTACAGAGAGAAAAAGAGATAGAAAGATCTTCCATCCACTGGTTCTAGCCAATTGGCTGTAACGGAAGTAGTTGAGCCTTTCTGAAGCCAGGGGCCAGGAGCTTCTGCAGGAGCTCCCAGGCAGGTGTGGTGTCCCAAGGCCTTGGGCTATCTTCTACTGCCTTCCCATGCCATAAGCAGAAAGGTGGATGGGAAGTGGAGTAGCTGAACACAAACCAGTGCTTATATGGGGTCCCAGCATTTGAAGGTGCAGGATTAGCCAGTTGAACCATTGCATCAGAGCCTTCAGGTCTAATTTTCATAAACTGAAATTTCTTAAAATTACAACTTGATAACTTTGAATTTTTTTATAATCACAAAATATTTCACTGCAGGGATTTGCCATGAAAACATTCAAGCAAGTCTTTAATAATGAGACTATTGCTATTTTTCAAGGTTTGGATAATGTTGCTTTGAAAACAACTCTACATTTGTACATGAATTGCTTAGGATAAATTCTCAGAAATGGGATTTCTAGGAGAAGTGAATATTTTAAATAAATATATGTAATACCAGAATGATTGGATCAATTTATGCTTATACTAATATTATATATGAGAATTTCTGTTTTCTCATTTTCTTTAATGATTTATTGTCTTTTTGCAGTTTCAATGTCTATAGTTGTCCCATTTGCACAATTCACTTATTTTGTCCTGTGTAATCCTACACATTGCCAGTGGGATGTCCATGAAACTTTGGTAATTTATTCATGATGGGTTACTGTCAATAAAGTATTAGTAACTGATTTATAACATGGAAGAATTGAAATCTGTTCATTTAAAAAAAACTGTCGGTTACTTGTTTTTTCCATTTCCCATCATCAGAACAGTAGTTATGGGAAATAGCTGTTCTTTACTTGCACTTCTCCTTCTGATCAGCTGATTTGTTTTTTCTCTGATACATTTTTTTCTTACATTTTCAGTATAACAATAGTTACTTTCTATTCTGTAACCACAATTATCATAGTTGACTAGCCAGTGTTTCAAAATCTACTTAAGTGGTTTACAACTTTTTTCTCTTAATTAAGGCCTCTTAATGATCCATATCTAGTAGATCTCCATAGTCTAATCTCCTTCTTCATGCTATAACTTACTGCCTTTCTACTTTGTATTCTGAATTATTTTCTTAAACTGATTCTTCATTCAATTAACAGTTTTCAGAGATACCCATTCCATTATTATTGCTTGAAATTTATATTTCAATTCTAAAATGATTTTATTATTTTTTCACTTGAATTTATTAGAATTTTAAAAATCTTTTCTGAATATCTTATCTCTTCTCTGAGCACTTTAATTGCTTCTTGCACTTCACATGTGGGCCTTGCTTTCTTTAATTATATTGGAAATAGTCACAAGAATGTGAGTATTTTTTTCTTTTCCTAAAGTGATTTTTCTTCTTCCTTTTAAAACATCTTTTATTATGTCATGATTATAAAAGCCCATTACAGATGACAGAGCATAAACAGTTGTGGATTTTAAGAAATAGCAGAATTGGACCCAACATGATGGGTCAGTGGCTAAATCCTTGCCTTGCATGTGCTGGGATTCCATCTGGGCTCTGGTTTGTGTCTGGGGCGCTCCACTTCTATTCCAGTCCCTGTCTGTGGCCTGGGAAAGCAGTAGAGGATGAGCTAAAGCCTTGGGATGCTACACGCATGTGGAAGACCCAGAAGAAGCTCCTGGTTCCTGACTTTGCATCAACTCAACCCTGGCCATTGTGGCCACTTGGGGAGTGGACCAGCTGATAGAAGATCTTTTCTTTTTGTCTTTCTTCTTCTTTGTAAATCTGCCTTTCCAATAAAAATAATAAAAAAGAAATAGCAAAATTAAGAAAAAGAAACTAAGCTATCATAGTAGTTTTGCTATTATTAATGTGCTCAAACTTTCCAAAATGTATAGTGGAAAATATACTGCATCTGTAATAAAAATGCTATTGCTCTGTAGTAAAATTAACTTTGGGCCTTAAATCAAGAGCTCTGAACATGAGTTCAAATTCTGTGTATGTAGTAGTGAAAATCTGGACAAAACACAGTAAAGTAGGCTTAAATTTGTTTTCTAATTTATGAAATAAGTAGATTGGTAAATACTCCTATTTTATCCTACATAACAATGTTGTATATGCTTTTTATATTTACTTTTAAATATTAAGAACTAGAAATTTTTAATACTTTGCCATATTCATCTCATAAGTAGATATGCATGTATGCATGAAAGTACTAACTTTTTCTTGAAAACAGGATGCTAATGTTACAAGTGTGGGATTTGTGATAATGCTCATAAACTGAGGAAAGAAGGGCATACTGTCACATAGTTGGTGTAACCAAGTGAAAACAAAGTGTATAATTATCTGTATACCAAATAACATGACAACCATTCCATTTTACATATAAAAGAAAACGTGATATTTGTCTTTCTCTGTCTGGCTTATTTCAGTTATCATAAATGATCTTCAGTTCCATCCATTTTGTTACAAATGTTGAAATTTCACTGTTTATGGCTTAGTGATATTCCATCATATATATATATATATATTCTTTCATATTTTTAAAAGATCTATGTATGTATTTGAAAGTCAGAGTACAGAGAGAGAGAGGGAGGGGTGAGCAAAGAGAGAGAGGAGAGAAAGACGGAGAGGAGAGAGAGTCCATCTGCTGGTTCACTTCCAAGGTGGTTGCAAATTTCCAAGGCTGGAGCAGGCCAACATCAAGAATCAGGAGCTTCATCTGAGTCTATCATGTGGGTGGCAAGGGCCTGAGTATTTGGGCCACCTGCACTTTTTCCCAAGCCATTAGCAGGAAGTTTCATAGGAGTGGAGCATCTGGGATTCTATCCTGTGCCCTTATATGATGCTGGCATTATATCAAGGTGGCAGCTTGACCCACCATTCCACGACAGCCCCTGGAATATTCTTTGAAAAAGATATGTATATGTGTATTTTTTATAACTTAAATGCATCTATGCAAAGTCTACATTTTGAATCATTTTTGCCTACAATTTTATCCTGCAGTGAATGAAATTATACTCAGGGTCTGGTATATGCTATATAACACTGTAAGTGTGTACTTCAGTAATCTCAGGGCTGTTGTGGGTTCAAAAGGTGTATTCAGTAGAAAAACTTACCTGGAAATGATTTTAGAAAACTTCACAAGTTTTAGGAAATATTTGGACATCCAGGCTCAGGAGGGTCAGAGGATCTTTAATAAATTCAACAGAAAGATCCTCCATGAGATGTGTTGTGATCAAAATGTCAAAAGTTCAGGAGAAAGAACTATTTCTAAATATTTAGAACAGCACAGAAAAAATATTAAATTGAATGTAAGGAAATCACCATTAGACTAACATCAGACTTTTCAATGGGCGTTTAAAAATCAGGAAAATGGAACAAGGTGGTAAGCTCAAATTTCTGAAAGAAAATAACTGACAACCAAGAATGTCCACATCCTTCAATGTTATCCTTCAAAAATGAAGGAGAAATAGTCTTCTCATGCTAAGCATAAACTAAGTGAATACACCATCACAAGCTAAGCCTATCCTAAAAATGCAGAAGAAATAGTACTCTAAAACAATAGGATGATGGTCACCATTATAAAAAAAAATGTGAAAGTAAAAAACGCAGTGATACAGCAGATTCAAAAAAGAGAACAAGATTTAAATTCTATTATTGCAAAAACTGCTGAGTTTTGAATATGAACAATAAAAAAGGAGGAAAGAATACACACACAAATCAACCAGAAGGAAAAGGCCAAATTTACAGAAATTCATCTTTGCTTATTAGTAATAACTTTGAATGTTAACAATAAATATTTTCCAGTCAGAGATAAAGACTGGTTAAATAGATAAAAACCAAGATTCAGCAATATACCACCAACAAGACACTCATTTCAACAATACGATTCAGATGCTTTGGAAGAGCAAAAAGTAAATAAATAATAATAAAAAAAGATACACAGGTGGCGGGTGAATTGGCTCAACTGGCTGATTATCCACCTCCATGCACAGGCATCCCATATGGGCACTATTTCATATGCCAGCCACTCCAATTCCAATAAGGCCCCCTAATTAGTTACCTAGGAAAGCAGGTCAGGACCACTGGTATGGCCCAATGCCTTGAGACCCTGCACCCACAAGGCAGACCGAGAAGAAGTTCCAGGCTCCTGGCTTTTGATCTGCTCAGCTCAGGCCATTGCTGCCATTTGTCATCATAGCCAGAGAGAGAATTTAGGTCTTCTGATGCCTGGTTACCTCAACAAGTTGAGCAACACATTTTTCATCTCTATTGACTCCCTGGGAAACTTTGTGCTGCACGTTTCTGTCTCTAAAAAGTTACTTTCTTTCATAAGTATAACTTAGCATATCTAGTGTTGTCCTTGTGACCCTCCTGTCTTGGTCATAAATTGTTTAATGGAGATTGGCAGTTGGTTTAAGAATAGCCCATTTGTGGCTGACATTGTTGTGTGGAAGGTTGAACTGCCACCTGCAACACCAGCATCTCATATCTGAGTTCAAGGTTGAGCGTTTGAGTTCCAGCTACTCCACTTTCAATCCAGCTCCCTGTTAATGCACCTGGAAAGGCAACAGAATATGGTCCAAGGGCTTGAGCCCCTACCACTCCCATGGGAGACTCAAATGCAGCTCCGGTCTTCTGGCTGCAGATTGGTCTAGCCCCAGCTCTTCTAGCTTTTGGGGAGTGAGTCAGTGCCTAGAAGATCCTCTCTCCCTCCATTGACTGTTGTTTTCTTCTTTCTCTGGCATTCAGCTTTTAAAAACAACTAACTCATTCACTAACTAACTAGATAAATTTGTCTAGAAAATATAGAAAAGTCCATGAATAAGTTTCTCAGTGGTGAGTGGAGGCTCTGAAGCTGGGCTGTTCAACTGAAGTTAGACTAGTTAGAACCGTGACTCAGGCAGTGACCCAGGCAATGGGAAAGTTGTAGCAGACACTGCAATACTGAACTTTCTTAGAGGTCTGTGTGAAGATCGAATGAGGACCTAGGCCAACAGGTAGGTATCACACTGAGAGGAGAGACAAGAGTGGGGATCAGGTTGGCTGGGGTGAAGATGGAAACTTTCTAAAGGGGTTGGCAACAGAGAGGTTGGGATTAGTGAAAATCCAGGGCGTACCGGTGATGGAGAGACTCACTGGTTCACTGTGCTGGGTACCAAGGCTGTTGGAAGCAGTGCAGTGGTAGTTTCCAGAATGATTTGCTGTTGCAGAGAAGTTGAAAGATGCTCGTTCTTCAGAGGTGATTGACTTCATCCACAAGGGGACATCCTTATGATAAAACCGGTACAGAACAGGGGGAGAGCCTCTCCTGGTTGCACAGTGAAGTGTCACAGAGTCTCCCTCGACTACCTGGGCCCGGGCTGTGCTGATGGTGAGGACAGGCTGAGAGACAGGCACTGAAGGAGAGAAAAATTAGTCAACAGTTACTTGTGCATCTTCCTGTCGGTTTCATCCCATGATCTGTGCAAATGTTTGTTTCTGTTGTCCACCTTTCCACAGGGCATCCCAGAACACCACATAGATGCCCTACAACTCTGCCTTGTCTTCCAGTCTGTTCCTTTCCTATTAGACTTCTAGTTTCTTCTCTTTCTTGGATCCCCCTTTTGCACAGATGGTGACTTCAGGTTAAGAAGTTCCTTATCTCCCTTTTACTGGACTCACCCCCTCACCCTCTCAGTTTCTTCTTGCTTCCTAAAGCCAAGGAAGAGCTTTTGCTGTGTCAAGCAAAATGAAAGAGATTATTTAAAATTAAGATTACTGGAAGCAGAACGATAGAACAATGGGGATACTAGGAGCATATTCATAGATATAGAGGTCAGAGGCAATATTTTAAATGAGAAGGATTGTGTAAAATATCTTGAAACTATAATCCTTGGCTATAAGGGTCAACAATAAGGGTGGTGGTCTGTTCAATGTCACGCATGTGACTCTTGGGGACATGCTTCTATCTGGAGTGCAGTTTCCTTCTCTCAATACCTCCCCTGTTCTCCTGAGATGCTCTTACTCATCCTCGGGTTTCAAATCATATGCACATTCTCCTGGAAAATCTCCCCATCTTCCATCTCAGATTGGGATGCCTCTTTCAGGGGCTTCTATTGCTCAGATTAGTGCTGGCTCTGTCCCTCATCTGTTCTGCCATTAGATCCCTGTATACAGGGCATATTAGCTTAGTGTGATATGTCCTTAGCCATCAGTATAGTTTGGTATACATAATCTATAAGGGCATTCTGTACTAGGTGAATGAACAAGTCATTGTGTAGAACTTCACATGTTTCTTGGTGCCTTAAACAGTGTTGTGAACATCACTGATCTTCTTGGGCCTTGGGATGTCAGGAACATGCCTGTCTGTTTCTTTCATCTGATGATTCTCTTCAACATCTCCTGGTCCTTCCCTTTACACTCTTGCACGTACTGTTGTAAAACAGTACGGATTCTGGCTTATCTATAGCCAGGCTTTAGTGTTTTACAAGAGAGGGAATTGAGTCAAATTTCAGGCTTAGCTAAGACTGGTTCCACTGCCAAAAGTTCAGGTCCAGATTACATTGTTTGCCTGAAATATGGCCACACAAGATGGTGCAAAACTGAGATTCAAGGCTTAACAGAGAGTGCTTTAACATAACTAACATAACTATCTGAACTGCCTTAATAGCTGTGAAGGCATTAATCCAAGCATGCAGAGATAAATGTGTCTGCTGGTGCTTCTAGTCCATTCCTTATGTGTGACTCTTTTCCATCACTGCCAAATCAATTCTTACAATACCTGAGTCAGAGGGAGATCTCTGGAGTGGTTACAGACTTTCTGTCTATCTTTATATCTCACATCACTTTGAACAGTGGCAATAATCAATGTCAGATATGACATGGATAGGGAACACCTCTGTGCACCAGGGAACTGATGATGTAGTTACTGAAATCAGTTTAATGAATACAAATCATGCAGAGCAAGAGAAAAACAGCTCCTCAGAAGTTGGGGTAAAAGGAGAGAGAAAGCTACTGTGCTGACAATCAGGGTGGGATGATTGGGCTGCAGAAGGGACAAGACATGAAGAGGCAGGGAGGTGTTTCCAAGAGCTGGCATGTTGTGAGCAGGGCATTGGCTTGGCCAGAGGAAGACACGGAAGTGCTTGGAAGGTTAGAGCACACTTCTGAAGGCCTTGGAGAGAGGGAACTGGGCCAGGAATGCATGAGTGGCAGAAATCCAAGGCTTACCTGTGACAGTGAGGCTCACTGCATTACTCCTCTGGGGCCCCAGGCCATTGTCAGCTGTGCAGTAGTAGTTTCCAGAATGCTCTGCAGTCAAAGAGATGCTGGCAGAACTTTCTTTCCAGAAAGCCTTTATCTTCTTCAGAAAAACATCTTCCCAATAAAACTGGTACACAATTGGGGAGGAACCTTTCAAACTTTTGCAGTAAAGTGTCACTGTGTCTCCCTCAAGAACCAAGTCCCTTCGAGTTCTGAGAGTCAGCTCAGGCTGAGACACTGGCACTGAAGGAAAGAAAATTAGAGAAGAGTTACTTCTGCCTCTTTCTGCCACTATCAGTCCATGGCCATTTATGCACCAAGGCATCGTGATAAGGATAAACCACAGAGCTGATTCTGGTGTAATACAAAAGATGCTTAAAGAACAGAGAAGTAGAGTTGATTGCATATCCCCTTCCCCAGCTTCAGGTGGCCTATGATGGAGAGTGATGCCGTTGTTTTGCCTGCCTGAGGGAATTAAAGTCCATATCTTGGACTTGAAACCCGCATCAGGTTGTTTTCTATGTGACAATCTGTGATAGACTAAGCCCTAAGACCTCTGCTCCTAGTTCCACATCAGCAGGCCGAGGCTTTGAACCATGCTTGGCTAGACTGCCTCCATAACTCTGCATCCAAGCTCCATTAGACAGGGACACAATACTCCTGACACTGGGAGTGATGTAGCAAAGGGACTTTGGATCCTGCCTGGACCCCAGGGCTGAGTCATCTGCTGAGAGACTCAGTACCTCTTGTTTTTTGTTTGTTTGTTTTGGTTTTCTTTTGTTGTTGTTGTTGTTGCTCTCAAGTTCCTCCTGCTACTGACCAACCCTGTTTTTCTCTGTGCTAGTTACTCAACCTAATTGTCTGCCCAAAGGCCTCTATACTAAAGTAAGGCCAGACCTTCATTATTGCTGACTTAAAACATACAACAAGGCTGTTGTAGCCAAAACAATTTGATATTGGCATAAAAAGACACACAGACCAGTGTGTAAAATAACAGAGAATCACATTTCTATAGGCAACAGATTTTTTAGGATGTCAGTAGGAGCACACTTTAGAGAAAGGAAAGTTTCTTCTGTCAAAGGCTTTGGGAAAACCAGATATCCATTTATAGAAAAAAGGGACCCAGATTCCCATCTATCGTATACAAGAATCAACCTATGTGGATGAAAGATTTAAGTAAGATCAAATGTCATGAATCTATTGGAAGAAAACGTGGGAAAAATTAGTCAGAACATAAGTCCTGGGGAAAACTTTCTAGATAGGAACATAAAAGCAAAATCACCAATTACAAAGGGCATTATATTGCACTGAAACGTTTCTGCACAGCAAGGGAAACAATCAACAGACTGCAGAGAAAATCTGCATTTTGGAAGGGGAAAATATTTTCAAATTCTTCATTCAAGAAAAAGTTACCTTCCAGATTATTCAGGAAACTCAGGCAACTCAACCAGAAGTAATCCAACCTGATTTTTAAAATAATGGGCATATGGCATGGATATTCATTTATTTAAATGGACAACAAATATGTGAAAAAAATGCTTAGTATAATTGACCTTCAGAGATATTCAATCAAAAATCACAATTAGATATCACTCACGTTAGAATGGCTATTACCAAAACTACAAAAGCTAATGAAGGAGCCCAGTGTGATCGCTTAGTGGCTAAAGTCCTCATCTTGAACGTGCAGGGATCTCATTTGGGCACCTTTTCTAATCACAGCAGTCCTGCTTCCAATCCAGCTCCCTGCTTGTGGTCTGGGAAAGCAGTTGTGGATGGCCCAAAGCCTTGGGACCTTGTGCCTGTGTTGGAGACTTGGAAGAAGCCTCTGACACCTGGCTTTGGATTGTCTTAGCTCCAGCCATTGTGGCCGCTCGGAGAGTGAACCATTGAAAAGAAAATCTTCCTGTCACTCCTCCTCTCTGTATATCTGCCTTTCAAATAAAAATAAATAAATCTCAAAAAAAAAAAAAAAAAGCTGGTGGAGTTGCAGAGAAAGGGGAACCCTGAAACTGTTGGTGGAAATAAAACTGCATCAAATTTCCCCCCAAACTGGAAATACATCTGTTGCATAATTTGGCTCTCTACTGGATATGTATCTAAAGAAACTGAAATCAGCAGATGAATTGAAACCTCTGCAGTCACACATTGATGGCAGCACTGTTCACAATGTTAGGATATGGAATCAACCTGTGTTCATTATCTCATGAATGGATAAAGAAACATGTTATATACACACAGTGAATTATTATTCACTCATCCATAAAGAGGAGTATAATACTGTCATTTGTATCAATTTGGATGGAACTAGAGGACATTGTTTGGGACTTTGATAAGTGTTTTTCATCTTCCTCTTTTTCCTTCAGGTTTCATGAACTCTTAGCTTTGGCCTCCTATCTCAAATCAAATAACAGAATTCTGGAGCTCCAAAGGATCTTGCTAATTGCCTTATATGACATTCAGTATAAAACGATGACACTGAGATAAAGTTTAAATGCCTTGTACAAAGCATGAAGCACCTATCATCATAGCCAGAGAGAGAATTTAGGTCTTCTGATGCCTGGTTACCTCAACAAGTTGAGCAACACATTTTTCATCTCTATTGACTCCCTGGGAAACTTTGTGCTGCACGTTAAGTTACTTTCTTTCATAAGTATAACTTAGCATATCTAGTGTTGTCCTTGTGACCCTCCTGTCTTGGTCATAAATTGTTTAATGGAGATTGGCAGTTGGTTTAAGAATAGCCCATTTGTGGCTGACATTGTTGTGTGGAAGGTTGAACTGCCACCTGCAACACCAGCATCTCATATCTGAGTTCAAGGTTGAGCGTTTGAGTTCCAGCTACTCCACTTTCAATCCAGCTCCCTGTTAATGCACCTGGAAAGGCAACAGAATATGGTCCAAGGGCTTGAGCCCCTACCACTCCCATGGGAGACTCAAATGCAGCTCCGGTCTTCTGGCTGCAGATTGGTCTAGCCCCAGCTCTTCTAGCTTTTGGGGAGTGAGTCAGTGCCTAGAAGATCCTCTCTCCCTCCATTTGACTGTTGTTTTCTTCTTTCTCTGGCATTCAGCTTTTAAAAACAACTAACTCATTCACTAACTAACTAGATAAATTTGTCTAGAAAATATAGAAAAGTCCATGAATAAGTTTCTCAGTGGTGAGTGGAGGCTCTGAAGCTGGGCTGTTCAACTGAAGTTAGACTAGTTAGAACCGTGACTCAGGCAGTGACCCAGGCAATTGGAAAGTTGTAGCAGACACTGCAATACTGAACTTTCTTAGAGGTCTGTGTGAAGATCGAATGAGGACCTAGGCCAACAGGTATCTATCACACTGGAAACCACACTCAGATTGGGATGCTTTCAGGGGCTATGCAGATTGTGCTGGCTTGTCCAAGTGGAAACTTTCTAAAGGGGTTGGCAACAGAGAGGTTGGGATTAGTGAAAATCCAGGGCGTACCGGTGATGGAGAGACTCACTGGTTCACTGTGCTGGGTACCAAGGCTGTTGGAAGCAGTGCAGTGGTAGTTTCCAGAATGATTTGCTGTTGCAGAGAAGTTGAAAGATGCTCGTTCTTCAGAGGTGATTGACTTCATCCACAAGGGGACATCCTTATGATAAAACCGGTACAGAACAGGGGGAGAGCCTCTCCTGGTTGCACAGTGAAGTGTCACAGAGTCTCCCTCGACTACCTGGGCCCGGGCTGTGCTGATGGTGAGGACAGGCTGAGAGACAGGCACTGAAGGAGAGAAAAATTAGTCAACAGTTACTTGTGCATCTTCCTGTCGGTTTCATCCCATGATCTGTGCAAATGTTTGTTTCTGTTGTCCACCTTTCCACAGGGCATCCCAGAACACCACATAGATGCCCTACAACTCTGCCTTGTCTTCCAGTCTGTTCCTTTCCTATTAGACTTCTAGTTTCTTCTCTTTCTTGGATCCCCCTTTTGCACAGATGGTGACTTCAGGTTAAGAAGTTCCTTATCTCCCTTTTACTGGACTCACCCTCTCACCCTCTCAGTTCCTTCTTGCTTTCTAAAGCCAAGGAAGAGCTTTTGCTGTGTCAAGCAAAATGAAAGAGATTATTAAAAATTAAGTTTACTGGAAGCAGAACGATAGAACAATGGGGATACTAGGAGCATATTCATAGATATAGAGGTCAGAGGCAATATTTTAAATGAGAAGGATTGTGTAAAATATCTTGAAACTATAATCCTTGGCTATAAGGGTCAACAATAAGGGTGGTGGTCTGTTCAATGTCACGCATGTGACTCTTGGGGACATGCTTCTATCTGGAGTGCAGTTTCCTTCTCTCAATACCTCCCCTGTTCTCCTGAGATGCTCTTATTCATCCTCGGGTTTCAAATCATATGCACATTCTCCTGGAAAATCTCCCCATCTTCCATCTCAGATTGGGATGCCTCTTTCAGGGGCTTCTATTGCTCAGATTAGTGCTGGCTCTGTCCCTCATCTGTACCTGCCATTAGATCCCTGTATACAGGGCATATTAGCTTAGTGTGATATGTCCTTAGCCATCAGTATAGTTTGGTATACATAATCTATAAGGGCATTCTGTACTAGGTGAATGAACAAGTCATTGTGTAGAACTTTACACATTTCTTGGTGCCTTAAATAGTGTTGTCATCATCACTGATCTTCTTGGGCCTTGGGATGTCAGGAACATGCCTGTCTATTTCTTTCATCTGATGATTCTCTGCAACATCTCCTGGTCCTTCCCTTTACACTCTTGCACGTACTGTTGTAGAAAGAATGGATTCTGGCTTATCTATAGCCAGGCTTTAGTGTTTTACAAGAGAGGGAATTGAGTCAAATTTCAGGCTTAGCTAAGACTGGTTCCACTGCCAAAAGTTCAGGTCCAGATTACATTGTTTGCCTGAAATTTGGCCACACAAGATGGTGCAAAACTGACATTGAATGGTTAACAGAAACTGCTTTAACTTACCTATCATAACTATCTGAACTGCCTTAATAGCTGTGAAGGCATTAATCCAAGCATGCAGAGATAAATGTGTCTGCTGGTGCTTGTTGTCCATTCCTTATGTGTGACTCTTTTCCATCACTGCCAAATCAATTCTTAAAATACCTGAGTCAGAGGGAGATCTCTGGAGTGGTTACAGACTTTCTGTCTATCTTTATATCTCACATCACTTTGAACAGTGGCAATAATCAATGTCAGATATGACATGGATAGGGAACACCTCTGTGCACCAGGGAACTGATGATGTAGTTACTGAAATCAGTTTAATGAATACAAATCATGCAGAGCAAGAGAAAAACAGCTCCTCAGAAGTTGGGGTAAAAGGAGAGAGAAAGCTACTGTGCTGACAATCAGGGTGGGATGATTGGGCTGCAGAAGGGACAAGACATGAAGAGGCAGGGAGGTGTTTCCAAGAGCTGGCATGTTGTGAGCAGGGCATTGGCTTGGCCAGAGGAAGACACGGAAGTGCTTGGAAGGTTAGAGCACACTTCTGAAGGCCTTGGAGAGAGGGAACTGGGCCAGGAATGCATGAGTGGCAGAAATCCAAGGCTTACCTGTGACAGTGAGGCTCACTGCATTACTCCTCTGGGGCCCCAGGCCATTGTCAGCTGTGCAGTAGTAGTTTCCAGAATGCTCTGCAGTCAAAGAGATGCTGAGAGAACTTTCTTTCCAGAAAGTCTTTATCTTCTTCAGAAAAACATCTTCCCAATAAAACTGGTACACAATTGGGAGAGAACCTTTCAAATTTTTGCAGTAAAGTGTCACTGTGTCTCCCTCAAGAACCAAGTCCCTTCGAGTTCTGAGAGTCAGCTCAGGCTGAGACACTGGCACTGAAGGAAAGAAAATCAGAGAAGAGTTACTTCTGCCCCTTTTTTGTCACTTTCAGTCCATGGCCAGTGCCCAAGCACTGTGTCCAGCGCAGTCCCATGGACTCTCAGGACAGGACAGTGACCCTCCTCCTCACCTCTCTCAAGCATCTCACATGAGCTCCATCTTGGCTGTAGTGCTGGGCTTTCAACTCTATTCCTTCCTGCCCTCTGGGATTGCCTAGTTATTATGCAGCTGCTTACTCTTTTATGGAGAGGATGCTGTTGGGGATGAAGTCTCTGTTCCTGCTGCTTGCTAGCTGTACAACTCCCTTCTTTGCCCACTTTCCACTGCCCTGTGACCACAAAGGAGCTGCCCCTCCTGCACACATCATTCTGAATATTGTCAGTCCCTAACCTTTGTTTTTCTTACCAGCTGTGTTGGCCTCAGGGCTCTGCCCTAGACTTATGTCCTCTAGAATACACAGCCTTCTAACATCTCCTCCAGTACGCCTATCTCCCTCAACCTTGATCTTCTCTGTTTACAGAGGAGAAGACCAAAGATCAGGAAGAGGCAAGAACTTCTGTAGATGAAGTTCTGAGCTTGTGGGGGACACAACCTGGCCCTGACTGATCCTACTGGCCAGGTTAGCTTACTTCTTTAGCTCCCTCTGACAGAGAGTGGCCTCTCGTTGCTGGTTGGCTCCCCAGGCCACTGTCTGGGCACCAGGTTCCTTCCCAGAGTGCTATGAAGACAGGAGATGGTTGAAGGAAATTCTGTCTCTGTAGGAATCTGATTTCCAAGCATTGCTTACTTAAACTAACAAAGTATTAGGAAAAATGATATGTTTGGACATATGCCAAATTCACAGACATTTTCTTTATGCCTTTCTCTAAGAGCTTCCAGAAATTCCCATTTTTCTGCAGTACCTTCTGTCCCTAACTCCCTGTACTAATCTTCGGCTAACTGCTGGTAGGTTTTCCAGAGCTTTGTTATTGATAACCACCAATATCCACCTCCCTCTCCCAAACTTATGGTGTTGGTGTGTGTCTTGATAATCCATTCCTCAGGTGATACCTGCCAGGACCCACCTTTTACTTTGATGGTTACTGGCTTGTTGACGTCATAGTGATAATGACTATTGTTGGCTTCACAGGTATACGTTCCGGCATCGCTGCTTTTCACCTCCAAGATCTTGAATTCTGCTGCTTGTGAATCCTGAATTTTAGTTCTTTTTCTGCCTGATATTTTGTACCAGGACACTGTGATGGGCCCACGGATGCCCTCTACTGAGCAGATGAGCACCAGCTCCTGCCCTTCGAACACTGACTCTGAGGCTGGGACAGTGTGTACTTGGACTTTGACAGCAGCTCCTAAAGGAATAAAGATGACGTATGGCATGGTTAGCAGCAGGTTATTCATGGGCAGAAAACATCACAGGTTATATTTAATGATGTCATGTGGAAAGCTGGCCTGGGAAGAGGGAGGAAATAGGAGAGTGTGGTCCCTCCTTGGCTAGACAGGCCCTCTGCTCTTACACAGAGAGGCATAAGACACAGAGGTAACTCTGCCTACCTTGCTCCATATCTACTTATCCAACCTGAAGAGCAGTACAGAAATGATGGCTAATGCACCGTAGTTGGGGAAAATGATGAAGGCGTTAATGGGACAGGGAGGCTTGTGTCCAGGGGTTCAGTGTCAAATGAACCATTGGCACATGCAGTACATTTGCTCTTGAGGAAATACATCCCAACCCTTCATGCATCAGTTAGTCAAAGGGGATAGAGCCAGGACAGTTCCCCTGAGCAGGAAAATCTGAGATATAAAGGTCACACATCTGAGATGGATGTGGCTTTGTACAATGAGTACGGCTTAGAGTGGTGCCTTTTTGAGTTATGCTGAGGACTTGATGGCCAATAAAAGGTGACTGAAGAGAGGGGAATAAGAACTGGAGCTTGTTGTTCTATCAGTTATGTTGAGGGAGAGTTTAAGTTAGGAGTTACTGTGTTATAACTGTTGGGTAACTTCCTCCACCTGCCCCATCTTCTTCAACTTTTTCTTCCTTAAATCAATGCTCTAAGAAACATCTGGCAGCTGCATCTGCCAGAAAGATCACTAATGTTGTTTCTGACTAAAAACGAGAGTTACTTAAGGGAAAGCTGTCAATTCTGTTTCCTGTTCACTTAGTAAAGTGTGTATACCAGATTATGCATCTTTTCCAAATTCTCAACCAGATTTTTCATGAAACAGACCAAATTTAAGCTGGAAAAGCATTTGGCCAGCGGTTAGCTGTTATGTTTGAGAACCTATACACATTTAGTAATGTAGGAAGAAGTGACAATGGATATAGGCCTACCCCTAATGGCATGAAGTTGGAATGGTTTGTTCCCCAAGCCACTGTCCTTTAGTTTTCCTGTTCTCCAGCTCTCGCCACTAAGCTCTTAGCATTTTGTGAGTTTGTCTTTAAGGTTGTACAGGGTCTATTGAAGCCTGCCAGAGGGCTCTGCCATGCCCACTGCTGACACCTACATGCTTAGCAGAAAAATATGTCAGGGAACCAGAGAGTTCAGAGACAAAAGAGAGTTGTATCTAATGACATTAAAGTAAAGAAAAGGGGGAAAAACCCTTCTTTTGCTGGACTTCACTTGTTCTTACCTCTCCTAAGAGCTGTTGAAAACTGAGGTCTTTCTTTTCATTCAACTCCCTTTTCTACACATAGGGGAAACATTTTATGTGAACCAGTGGCCAACTTAAAACCCCATGCCTGGGGTGATCTTAGAACCCACACATACTCACTCTGTACTTGAACTGATAATGTTGGACTGCTTTTCTCAATGGAGGAACCCATTGCTTCACATGAGTAGCTTCCTGAGTCTTCTTTCCAAACAGCAGGTATTTGGAGCTCTGTGGATCTCTGCCAGCCTGATCCCAGGGTCTGTTTCTCTCTGAAGAAACGGAACTGGAGCTGAACATGTGACTTCTGGGGAGGGAGCTGGGTCTCACAGGTCAGGGTCAATGGGTTCCCTTCTACAGGCCTGCTGGAACTGGCTGTCAGCACAGGTCTTGGAAACAGCTCTGGAGAGAAAGATCACAAGCACCCCAGAGCAGTGAGACTTGGAACTGCTCTGGTGGAAAACACGTCATTCTCAGCACATACAGACAAAATGTATGGCAGAAACAAGCAAAGGGGTGTCATGTTTGATTCCTAACCCCTCTTACCACCGCGCATGGGCAAACTTTGTCTGTTCCCCACAGGAATGGGCCCAGAGGTTCAATAGTATTTCAATGCACCTTTGTCTTCTATAACAACCCCAGGGACCGTCCTTTTGACCAATCCCCTCCCCAAACCATGATGGCTTTACCTTGGACTTGGATTTTGACTGTGTTGGAGGAAGCATTACAACACTCTTTCCTAAGTTCAGTGCAATGGTAGTCACCATTGTCTTTCAGACTTGCATTATGAATGTGGAACTCAGAACTTTCACCAAGAAATTCCAGATGTTTACGATTCTTGTTAATTGCCTTTGTAGACGCTGCTGCTTCTACTCTTGATTTGCACCTCAGAATCACAAGGTCCCCTTCAAAAACAGCAGGTGGAGCCTGCAGAATCAGCGAAGCTACAGAAATCATAAGACAAGTTATTTGGTTCATTCCATTTCCCCTCTTTCCTTTTCATTGTTATTCAGATCAGATTTTTATAGGAACAGGAACATAAGGAAGGATTATTGGAAAATCATCCTTTTTTCCTGACTGTAAAATGAACACATGTACTTTTAGAAAAGTTGAAAAGCAGAAATGTGAGTAAAATCACCCATCATCTCAACACTCAGTTTTTTTTCAAATTTCTTTCATCTATTTATGTAGATAATAATTCATGTATGTTTTTCTTATTATGGAATGAGTTGATATTTACAGGCTTGATAATCTGTCTGTAACTTACCATGCTATGAACACTTTTCTATGTCATTAATTGAACATGATTCTCAACAACACCAATTCTGTTTACTTCCTAAGTCTTCTATTCTTGAACATTAGGGATCCTGCATTTTGAGGGATAATGCTCATGATTGTTTCAGTAGCTGTTTCCTTAGAGGGAAATTGTTAGATGAATCACATAAATGTGTTTTTCACGTCTTGGTGCTGTGCTGCTTTCTGATTTGCAAATTAAAGAGCATTGTAACTATGATAACACTGCTGCAACTTCAAAGCAGCGATTTTTAGAACAAAATGTTTCTTCCTTTCTCTGACTTTTACTGTGCTAACCTACCTGTCATCTATATAGAGCTTGTTGAAAAAAGATCTTTGTGTTTATTTCAAAGGCTAAATTACAGAGAAAAATGACAGAGTTCTTTCATCTGCTGGTTCACTCCCCTAATGGCTACAAAGCCTGCAGATCGACTGATCTGAAGCCAGAATATAAGAGCTTCTTCCAGATTGCCCACCTGGGTGCAGGGGCCCAAGTACTTGGGCCATCTTCCATTGCCTCCCCAGGGAAATTAGCAGGGAGCTAGATCAGGAGTGGAGCACTCAGGACTTTACATGGGAGGTCAGTACTTGACCTGCTAAGCCAGAGTGCCAACCCTTATCCAGATCTTTAATACAAAACATCTGCATGCTATGAATTATTCAAATTAAATAATATGGATCAAAACTACACAAAGATTCAGAAACCATTCACATAAGTGACTTTAGATTTCATTTTACTTGAGCAGCTGCTGAGAAAATGAAAATTCTTCTATTTCACCCTATAGGGTTTTATCCAATCACTAGTGTCTGCTTGATTAAAAAGGTACCCAGGATTTGACTCTGATCAAACCCAGATCGAGTAGAATTGTGTTTATATGTTTAATCTATCATCCTCAGCTGTTCATGCATAACAATTACAATTACAATAGGTTTTGTCCCAGATACTTTATGGTGTTTTTTTTTTTTCATTTTCATGTAATCTAATTGCAATTTGGGATATAAAAGTTTACTCACAGGTTATTTCACAACTAGGAAGGAAAAATTGATTGGACATGATTTCTGAAGTTTTCCTTTTAGTTCTTTCTCACCTTTAGAAAAGACCAAGTGCACAGAGCTACTCAGAGCTGAGTCAGTAACTTGGCATCTGTAGTCTCCAGACTCACGGGCCTGGAAGATTCTTCCAGAGGTCATCGTTACTGTCTTGGTAATTTGCTTATGATACCATGTTGTTTTCCAGGATAAATAGCGATGAACTACATTGCAAGTCAGTCTCACGGTCTCTCCTTCAAAGTTGACGGTCCATTTAGGATCGAGGGAAATAAAAGACTGGGGTATAGTTTCTGTGGAAGAGAAAATGAATCTGAGATGGAGGAGTTTGTGGTTTGGGCTGCAATGATCAGTGAAAATTGGACTGCAGAATTACTACAGAGTCTTCTGGGCAGGATATGAATCAGCTAGGAAGACTCATTTCCTCCTAGGGAGAGTGAATGACTGCTCAGCCAATGGTCACCAACAAAATGATTTCAACATGGCAATGACATCAGGATACACTGTAAAATGCCAATGGTTAGTTTTCCCAATGCAGAAGTGGATCCAAAAACAACAACAAAAAAATGACCCTGGCTTCCATTTCATCATGCTCATAAACTTGAAAAAATTTTCAAAGATATTGTTAAAATTGCGATTTTACTCTTCCTCTAAAAAAAATTACGTTATTTTAAGAATTGTGTCCTGAGAAAAGCTCAAGAGATCAATTTACCTGACTCCTTCATTTCACAGATAAGGACTTGATCACCTAGAAAAATCCCATCATCACTAATTGTGGCAGAGCAAGGAATGGACAATTTACTCACTGGAATCCAGAAACAATCTAGACAAGGTATAGCTGGATAAGCTGATTTTGAATCAGAGGAGGACTGTAGAAGAGGGAGGGTGTGGAGAGAGAAAGAGAGAGAGAGATGGACAGAGACAGAGAGAAATGAAAAGAAAAAAAAGAAAGAAAATTTTTGCTATTGTTGGATCTTTAAATAGCCAAAAAAATTTCTTACCCAAAATAATGATATTGGTGAGTGAGAATTTTTTTTTAAATGTGTGATATAGACAGTTTTGCTTCTCTACCAATTTGTACATTTCTTTCTGTTTAAGGGCTCGCATGTTGGATGTTCTGGTTCCACACATTTCATGGAGGATTTTGTTTCTAAACTACAGGGGATGCAAAACTGCTTCTGGCATTTCTGCTTTGGGATGTTTTCAGAGTTTTCATGGCTTGCTGATCAGACAGTATGCTATCCTGTGTCTTATACATTTATTATGGAGTTGAAGACGTCTTGCTTGGCAAAGCAGGATCCGTTTGCAATAGTAGATGCCCGGCTTTTACTGAACAAGACTATTTGCTAATTGTGCACACAGAGCCATGCCCAGGGAAGGACACAGGGTGATCATGAGCTTATTCTGGCCCTTTGTGACACCAAGAGATCAGATACCACTGTCACTTGGCCTTGACAAAAAACAAAAAAAGAAACAAATGAACAACAATATCAGGAGACATTACAGTCATCAAGGCAGCTGTTGCAAATGTCGCACACTATTAAGACAACAGTCTTCTCCAGAGACATTGAAAGCAAAAGAAAGAAAACTCACCACAGTGTCCACCAATGGGAGCTGAAAGAAAAAAAAAACCAGAGATCAACTCGGAGCAAGGTAATAGCTGCTTTTCACCCTTATCCATGATTATTGTTTCTTCCTTCCATTAGAATTCATTTAAGTAATTTAATAATTATTTATTGAATATCTAAATATACTATGGCATTACATTTTGAATACTAAAATTAATAAAAAGGGATATCTGCTACGTGGACATTGCATGGCAGGTCTGGTGCCATGGTGGATTGGATGTCTATATTGGAATGCTGGTTTGAGTGCTGGCTGCCTTGTTTTATCTCTAAACTCCTGCTAATGTTGAAGTGGAAGCTGGTTTAAGCATTCATGCCCCAACCACCCACGTGAGAACCCAGAATGGAGTTCCAGGCTCCTAGCTTTGGCTTGTCCCTCCCTAACTGCTGCAAGCATTTGGGGAGTGAACCAACAGAAAAATCTCTTTTCTCTCTTTCTCGTTTCAAACAAGCAAATAAATAAACGAACGAATTTTTTTTTTTTTTTAGAAATTGGCAGGAGAAAGACACAAACATGACATGAAGTCATATAGCTATAAGCCAGGTTGTAAGTGCAATAACAGAAATATACGTGGAATCTCTGTTGACAATGGTGGGTGGACCATGTAAGGTACGTGAAAGAGCTGCTATTGGAGAGAATTTGTGAATGAGAACAGTGAAGTGAGGTGAAGGTCAGAGTTTGTGTAAAGGAGATGATAGGGAGGGCAACCAAGGCAGCAAGGACCCAGCTGTGAAGAAATGACATGAATGTTCAGGAATGAATGGGTGTCCAGAAGGTATGGAGTAATGGGGGAAAAATGATTAACGACGCATGCAGAGGTCAAGTCAGTAGTGCTAATTTTATTACAAAAGCCACCGGAAGCCATGGAAAGAAACATTTTAAGTAGCAGTAGGACAAGGTTGAAATTTGGAACTTAGATGGAACAGTTTGGCAGTCGGGAGACTCAGGGGAAGGGAGAGAGAGACTTGTTAGAAGGGAGGTCAAGAAGAACTAGCCAAATATACCTTTCTTTAATATGTTTATCCAAATTATTTAGATTTTTAAAAACCTATTTATCTTATCTGCTTGAGTACTATCTCCTCTCTAGAAAGCAAGGCCTGTAAGAGAAGGGATTTATCTTGTGTCCATTGATTATCACTAAGAACCTACAGCAGTATCTAGGAAAGAGAGAGAGAGAACCTTCTATGTGCTACTTCACCCCTCAAGTGACTGCAAAAATGCCAAAGCCAGGGTCCAGGACTCAGCACAGGCCTCATAGGTGGGTGTGCGGGACTCAAATACTTGAACCATCACTTACTGTCTCCAGGTTGTGCATTACTAGGAAGCTGAAATTGGGTGTGGAGCTGAGATATGAATCCATATGAATCCAGGAATTATGATAAGGGATGTGAGAACTGCAAATGATGTCTTAACCACTGGGCCAAATATCCTCTCTCTCTCTCTCTCTCTTTCTCTCTCTCTCTCTCTCTCTCTATATATATATGTATATATGAATTTTATTAATTTATGCTGAATACTGAATTAAAGAACTAGGTCAGAAAAGATGGAAAAAAAAAAGAAAAGAAAAGAAAAGAAAAGAGGTCCCAATACGATGGCGTAGCGGTTAAACACCTCGCCTTGAATGTGCCAGGATCCCATATGGGCGCCGGTTCTAATCTTGGCAGCTCCACTTCCCATCCAGCTCCCTGCCTGTGACCTGGGAAAGCAGTTGAGGACGGCCCAAAGCCTTGGGACCCTGCACCCACGTGGGAGACCCAGAAGAAGCTCCTGGCTCCTGGCTTCAGATTGGCTCAGTGCCAGTTGTTGAGGCCACTTGGGGAGTGAACCATCGGACAGAAGATCTTCCTCTCTGTATATCTGTCTTTTCAATAAGAATAAATAACTAGAAAAGAGCAGAATACAGGCTTGAGTATTCAGTAATGGTGAGAGAGAAGAGGTAAAATTGGAAGAATTATCAATTGAGGAAATTTTCTAGATTTGGCTGATTTCTTGGGCAAATATTTTTGGAGAGTCAACCATAGGCTAGGGCCAGGCAATGAACCTCCAGCAGTGAGTCAGGGACACATAGTCTCTGTCCATACAGGGCTAATGGAAGAGTTATCCAAGAACAATGGATGATTACCTGGTCACGATAACTTTTGTATTATTTTAAAAGCAGCTACTATGTCTCTGAGAGATTTCTATGTGATATACAGTTACCTACACTGTTTCATGAAATCTCAATAATTCCTTGAGATAAGTACTGTGATCACAATTATTCAGATAAAAATTATTTAAGTAACTAATAAATGATGAGATGGAATTTAAAAAAAAAAAAAAAAGATTTGTTTGCTATTTTTACTTGAAAGAGTTTCAGAAAAAAAAAGGGGGAGAGAAAGAATCTTCCAACTGCTGATGGTCACAACAGTCAGATGAGTTGTGGCTGAGTCCAAAGCTTGCAACCTTAGGATATCCTCCATTGCTTTCCTGGGCCATAACCGGGGAGCTATATGGCAAGTGAGGTAGCTGGGACTTGAACTGGCACCCTTATCAGATTCCAGAGAAGGAGGCCAATGAGTAACCTATTATTCCACTATGCCTATCCCAAGGCTGAGAATTTGAACCCAGATTTTATTTGACTCAAAAGTGCATGTGCTCAGCTGTTACCCTATTTATCTTCTGTATCGTTGCCACACTAGACTGTACTTCCAACCTCTGGAATTCATGCACCTTTCAATGGTGGAGTCCTCTTGGTTTGTATCATGACCGATTCCGTTCCTGGACCCCGCTCCTTCTCACAGTGTTTATATTTGGTATATAAGATACTTCTCAACTTACAATATGGTTACCAGCTCACAAACTCATTTTAGGTTGAAAATAGTTAAGAAAAAAAAAACTATTTAACACATCTAACAGAACTTTATTGTTTAGACTAGCCTACCTTAAATACCTCAGAACTCACATTAACCCACAATTGCTTAAATCATCTAACACAAAACTCGTTTTTAAAAATCATGTGGGAAAAAAATCATGTGGTAGTTAATATAGGATACAAAATGTGTAAAAGAACAAAACTGGGCAATTGTTTTTACCCTTGTCTCTACTCTGTGGAACAGTGGTCTGTGTAGATTTACTTGTTGGGTATTATGGCTAGTAATGCATTAGCCTCTGATCACAAATTAAATTGAAATTATAGTTTTGAAAAATTTGAAAAAAGCAATGACATGGCTACAGAGAAAGAGAGAGAGAGAGGAATTTTCTACCCACTGGTTCACTCTCTAAGTGGCTGCAATAACTGGGCTCTGTGAGGATGAAGGCAGGAGTCAGGAAGTTCTTCCAGATCTCTCCTATGGGTACAGAGGTTCAAGCACTTGGGCCATTTTCCACTGCTTTAGTAGGTACATTGACAGAGCGTTAGATCAGAAGTAGAGCCATCTGGTCTTGAATTGTAACCCATGTGGATGCCGGCGTTGCAATTGGCAAAAAACCAGTTTTGGTTGTAATTAACCAAAAAACCGCAATGCTGGCTTTCTCTCTTTATATTAATTTAAAAAATGGAAAAAAAAAATCAGGCTGTCTCAGAGTCAGGAGCTGCTCTTATTTATGAACTGGCTTCTATAGTGAGGTTTTAGTTGACTCTATACTGTTTGATGGCTGTTACTGCTGCTCAAGTAGTTTTGTATATAAATTTCATTCTTACAACAAAAATAATCAGGCTGTCTAGAGAAGGGACTGATACTAAACCAGTGCCTCTTAAAAATAGTCATTTTATTTATTTGAACGACAGAGTAACAGGGCAGGAGAGACAGAGACAGAAAGATCCTCCATCCCCTGGCTTGCTCCTAAAATAGCTTTGATAACTGGGGTTTGGATAGGCCAAAGTCAGGAGCTATGAAGTATATCCACGTCTCCCTTGTGTGTGTCAATGACTTAAGTAATTGGGTCAATATCTGCTCCTTTCCCAGGGATGTTAGCAGGCAAATGATTAGCTATAGAGCTGCTGGGACTTGACCAAGTGCTCCAGTACAGGATTTTAGCATCCCAGGTGGTGGTCTATTGTGCCACAGCACCAAATACACAGCCTATTTAACAGTGAAGAATTGACTGTTTTGTGTGATATATTGAAGCCAGGATATGAATGAACATCACAAGAACAAAAATTCTCTAGCAATGTAGCATGCTGTGGAGTATTGATTGTTTCCCTGGTGATTCGGTAATGACTGGGAACCATGGTTCATTACCACTGCCCAGCCTCATGCGAGCACTGCACAGAAAAAGAAGGAATTTCAGAATCTAGTTTCTGCTGAAAGGGTATCATCTTTTTACCATTGTTAAGGAGTCATCCATCAAGCATTTTAAGTTGGATATTATCTATAGTTCATTATTTGCCTGCACCATGCTTTGGCAACTTCGCCTGTATAGTTATTTTGTTGCATAGTTGCTTTTTATACATTGCCTCAACTAGAACTCTTGTATATTATGAGCTTCCTGCGTAAGCAAATCATGCCTTCCACGTATTCCAAATATTGTCAGCAATTGCTGCAGTGTTGTGTATGGATACTTCTTTTTTTTTTTTTAGCATTTATTTATTTTTATTGGAAAGGCAGATTTACACAGAGAAGAAACGGCACAGAGAGATCTTCTGGCCACTGGTTCACTTCCCAAGTAGCTGAAATCACTGGAACTGAGTCAATCTAAAGCCAGGAGCCTGGAGCCTCTTCCAGGTCCCCCGCTCAGGTACAGGGTCCCAAGGCGTTGGTGCATCCTCTACTTCTACCCCAGGTCACAAACAAGATGGAAGTGGAACAATTGGGATACAAACCAGTGTCCATACGGGACTCTGGCAGTTGCAAGGCAAGGATTAGCCACCAGGCTATCGTGCGGGGCTCTGTGTATGTATATTGGTAAAAAGTATTTGCTGAACAGATGAATTAACATAATGAGTTCTAATTGTTTTCAACCTTGGTAGAAATCAACCAATTTGGTAGAGACTTATGAACAGTCAGGCACGATAAGAGCATTGCACACTTTGCCTGTCTCATATTCTAGGTCTGCTCCCACCACCCCTATTCCTATTCCTTGCTCTTAATCTCCCATTTACCACTGTGGTTTGGATTTGTATGCAGAAAGAGGCATCATCCGCCCAGCGTCAGGCTCTAGCCTTGTCATTCCAGACATTTAAAAATCTCTGTTGCAGAGAGGAGAGAGGTCTCCTCTGGAAAAGACAACACAAATAAGCAAACTCAACACTTGTCCTGGATTTAATCAAGTATTTACTGAAGAAAATAAAGGCAACCTTAATTGTGGTCACTACAGTTTCATTTTCTGTTATGGCTAAGGTTTTCTTCCACCTGTGACCACTTTCTTCAGGCTCTAGAGAGGAAGTCCTGAGCCATACAGTAAAGTTTGAAAAGACACTCTCCTCATGTGGGGATGGTTTCTCAGTTGGAGCTGGGCCCCAAGAATGGCCACATCTGAGGTGGAAGAAGACCTCCCATCTCACTCGATGCCCATGTTGAGCCATCTACTCACCCAGCACCAGTAGTATCGCCCAGAGCATCATGAAGAGCTGGAAGACCCAGGACTGAGACTGCCAAGAGAAGCTTTCTTGGGAATCCTCGCCGTCAGTGCATCACACCAGCCTCTAAGTGCACAGCTAGGAAACTGCCCCTTTGGAAGGTGCATAATGAATTTGTGAATTAGAAAGAAGGAAGTAGCAGTTCCTGTCTTCAACTACCAATCACGGTTTCCTGCCCTGTAATACAAGTGAGAAAACGAATGTTAGGGTCTTGAACCCTTGACCTTACCCTTTCTGCTTATAGGAAATTATCTTTAGGAAACTGCAAAGATAGATCTATAAGAATTTTATTGTAGCATCTTTCACATCATTCACTGTTGACTAAATACTGGAAGTGATATAAAAGACTATGAGTTTATGACTGTTGGAGATTATTCTGATTCATTGTGCAACTACAAAAAAAAAATCATTAGGAATGAATTAAGCCTGCAGAAGCTAAGAGGAAGACTACATTGACTCATAAAGAGAAGAAAGTGAAGTGTGTTGTGGTAGCTGAAAAAAGAAAACATGAAAGAATAAATTTGTAGGTGTGTGTTAATTACCATACCCCTTTTCTCTCTGAAAGTACAGGCACCAGTAAAGGTTATACTTGAGGAGCTGGAGGTTCGTATTTTGTGTGATCTTGCAGTTATCCATTCTTTGAAAGTTCAAAACACTGAACTGTAAAACTATCTTGCACTAATGATTTTTAAATGGAAAAGTTATTTAACAAATGTCTAAATTTCTACTATGGCAGTTTATCTGATTTTGGATAAAAATCCCATGAAAATTTTGTTTTATTGCCTAATATTTGTTTGTTTATTTATTTCAAAGGGATCAGTTCTTGAATTTAGTTATCAGGTTTGTTTTGTCTATTTTCCTATAATTACTGTTTTTCTCAAGTATTGTTTTTGGTTTTTTAATTTTAAATGGAAAGTTGATCTCTTCTCATTTTTATTATTTCAACAGTTTAAATATCCAAGGCTAAGAATTTTAAGAGCTTTAGAATGTTCTGCAAATATTGATACAAAAGCTGTTCATTGCAATATGTTGTAGACAATTGACAATTCTGTTCTGATTTGTTGTAAAAGAAATGTTAAAAGAATTTTCAAATATTTGAATGTTGGATGTTTCTTTTTCTAGTTTTGCTGTTTGTGATGACATTTTATTATTCATTGCACTTTAATAGAAGAAGGTGATATGTATACTTTGTGAAACTTGGTACTCTCTGGAATTTATTGAGATTGTCTTTGTCACCTAATATGATAATTTTGGGTATTTTATGGGCCATTAAAAAGTAAAGAAGCTATATTTTTATTTTTAAGACAGAAAGTTTTTGATAATCAGCTTTTCAAATGTGTATTCTATATTCCCTTTTTTTTTCATTTCCTAGTGATTTTTTAATCTCCAAATCAAGTAATTCTTTTTAAAAACATGTTTATTTATATTATGTATTTCTTTGTAAAAGATTTATTTATTTTTATTGGAAAATCAGATACATAGATAGGAGAATAGACAGAGAAGATATTCTGTCCTATGATTCACCCCTCAAGTGACCCCAATGGCCTGAGCTGTGCCAATCCAAAGCTAGGAGCCAGGAGTTCTTCCAGGTCTCCCACACGGGTACAGGGTCCCAAGGCTTTGGGGCCGTCCTCAACTGCTTTCCCAAGCCACAGGTAGGGAGTTGGATGGGAAGTGGAGCTGCCGGGATTAGAACCGGCGCCCATATGGGATCCTGGCGCATTCAAGGTGAAGATTTTAGCCGCTAGGCCACAGTGTCTGGCCCTATTTATATTATATAGTATGGATGATAAAATGCAATTCAGGAAGTGTGAAGTAAATATAAAATATCAAAATTAAAAACATAATTTTCTAATAAATCAATTATTAGTCTTTAGGACAGAATCCATTTGTATTAAAAACTGTCATGCAAGGAATTTCTCTTTTGTTTTTAACTCTAACAAGACATATAACGACAGTTGAAGAGTAGAACAGTCTTAAGTGGTTGAGCAGAAAAATCCCTAATAACTGAGCAAGTGAGGAATAACTGAACTCTGCATCCTACCTAGTGAGGTCTAGGAAAAGCCAAATTGGGAGTCTGACCAATAAGGTACAGACTGAGCAATATAGGCCAGCTGACTTTTTCCTGTCTGTTCAAAGGTATATTCTATATTCTAATTTAAAACTTATTTTTGCTAATTTATAAATTTTAGTATTAGCATCTGAGATATACAAATACAATAATAATTTTTTCAAAATTTACTCTAATTGTATACTGCCTTGTTTTTCGGTATAGTTTAATAAATTTTTTCTTAAGTTGAATAAGAATTGCTTGTCAGTAATGTTATTATTTGTGTTCTTTGAGTTTGTCTGATATGCTTTTGCCATCATTTTATTACTTTGATTGCTTTGTTTTGGAAGTATTTATTGCATATTATATGTGGCCATGTCTTGCTTTTAGATCACAAATGTATTTCTTTTACAGAGTTATTTATTATTTTCATACTCTTAAGACAAATATTATTGGTCTTATACATGTTGAAACATCATACCACACTTTATGCAAGTTTACCTTGTGTATTCCTGGGGACGAGATGCAACTGAAAAGAAATTGAGGGTCAGTGCTCTCTTAGGCAACTGACAAAATTTATTTCCAGGGTTACAGTTCTTAAACACTTAGTAAAACAATAGTTCAACCACAACTCAGAATTAGATCATGTCTGGAAGCAGAGAGTTTAAGGAAGCTAACGAGGCAATTTGGTCAAAGCATTATTGCAATAGGGAATAGATAAGGGGTACTGTCTGTCCTGGGTTAGCTGACTGGACAGAGCACAGATGCTCAGCTATCATCAAGGACAGCATGAAAGCACATCCAGGGAGTCATTGGGCAAGAGTTCACTCTGGACAAGACGCCCTCCACCTCCTCTTTGCTGGAGTCTCTTCCCAACAGGATTCTCTACCATTCTAGTTATCCTGTTGGATATATTATGACACTCTAAATATATGTAATTATTGGATGTCTATTTAAGTATTTGAAAACTAAAAATGGTAAAAATAAAATCCATAAAAATCTATTAATGTTGGTTTTAAAGGAGTTATCTCATTCCACAGTATCAAACCTTTGCTTTTTAATGCTCTACTTTCTTTGAATTCTTTGTTTTTACTTGTCTAAAGTGTAGATATAGCATTGCTTGTGTTTAAAAGGATATAGTTCTAAATTATCTTGGTGGCTAATTTTGTAACTCTAGTATTCTGATACCTCTTTATCTTGATTTGACAATATGTGCTTATTTCCTGATAAGCAAAGTAGATGTCAGCCTACTTTCCCTATATTCTCCTTCTCCTGATTTTTAATTGCTCATAATATGATTTCCATTGTTTTGATGGTTTATAATTTTTATAGTGTGTTAGATAACCATGTTTTCCCATAACTACTTAGTTTTAGTACTATATATGTAAATGAATTGAATATCACAAGATTTGAGTTAGATTTTTGTCTTGAGGAGCTCAAGTGATTTCATTCTTACTTGTTAGAGAACATTTTGCCTTTGTCTATTGGAAATACAAGTGTTCAAAATTCTTGAGTTAAACCATGTTCTTTAAGGTCCTTTGTCCTCTGGTTTTGGATATGGCCATGTGGTCAGAGACAACTTTTTCACCTTTTCTGTAACTGTACTTTCTTTTATTGCCCTTAAATTCTTAGTTCTTGAAGTATAATAACTTGACCTGAATCTATCTTTCTGCTGGTTCTGCATCCATTTTCTAGCAGCCATCTTCTAGTCATTAAATATTTTCCATTTGTATTTATTCTGTTGTCTTCTTTCAGAATACCACCATGGGTATATTGGAGACCTTTTGTCTGTCATTCATATCAATTACTTTTCTTAACACAAGCATAATTCTTTCCTATTTGGTTTTGCTTAGCTTTTTCAAAACTTTCATTACTGTTTTTAGAATTCTTTATTCTTTTTTTTCCTGATTTTAATGAAACAGATTCTTATTCTTTTTTTTTTTTTGAGATTAGCTTTCGTTTAGTATCCTTCTGTGTCTTCCATTTTTTAAAAAACTCCAATGCATCTATCATGAAAAAGATATTTTTAGAATGTCTTCCATGTCCAGGAGACGAAATAAGCTATTGTTTTTTCCCTTAAGCTTGTCAGGGTGGCTCTTAAGTTGTTTTGTTCTTGTGTATTTGCCTGAGTATTATGCTACTGATGTGGCAGCTCTATCTTGTCTCAGTCAGGATCTTACTTTCCCAGCTGTCCATTAGCTGAAGGTCGGTGCGCAAAAATTATTTTTTTAAAATATTGTTGTTCAGTTATTTGAAAGGCAAAGTTAGAGACAGAGAGAAGGTCTTCCATCTGCTGGTTCACTCCCCAGATCACAAAGGGACTAGGCCAGGCCAAAGCCAGGAGCTTCATCCAGGTCTGGTGCAGGGGCCCAGGCACTCAGGGCATTTTCTGCTGCTTTTCCAGGCATGTTAGCAGGCAACTGGATTGGTTGTGGAGCAGCTGGGACATGAAATGGCACAGACATGAGATCCTTTGCTGCAGATGTTGGCTCCTTTGCATCACAGCACTGACCTCAGTGCATGAAATTATTAAGGATCTGTGCTATGGAGACAGCTCATAGGCAGCTTGCTTTACACCATTTTCTATTGCTGCCAAGAGTCACTTTTGTTTATAATTTGAGCGTCAAGAGCCTACCTTGACCTGATACCCTGTATTTCACATATTTTCTCTGTGTTGGTTTAATATGACTTTTCATCAGCTGATAAGGTTCACAGGTATAACACCAACACTATCTTCTCCCCTTTTATCTACGAGGAATCTCATTCAGCATCACCATGCCTGCTTTTTGAGGAAACCAGCAAGACTCAAAGACATTCTCAGAGCCTCCATATTCTCCAAGCAACTAAAAGTTTACTGGTTTGGAGCTTTGGGGTTTTGTCCTTTCCTTTTGGAGAACTTGGGAGCTTTTCCTGCAGGTGTGTGTTGCGTTTTTCGTTCACTGTCAACTTTATTCTCTTGCTTTGGTTAGAATTTTCACTGTG